GGTTTATAAACACTGTCAGGTTTCTTAAGTCTAGTCATCCAGATGTAAGAGTTATCTTCTACAAATGCTTACCTCATAGGTTTTTAAGGATTGAGTGTATGCTGCACACAGAATACTTAGCCTTTGGCACAAAGCAGAAGCTCAGTTACCCGTACTTAGTAACATGTGGCATGTTATAAATAGAGTGTAGTCTTAGACTCAGTCAACATTTTGTCTTGGTCCTGGCTCTCACTTTCCAGCTCTAAGCCATTATTAAAATACTCCTTTCTTATCCTCTTATCTGTTCAAATGAGACTGGGTGGGTGTAGTTAGTAAGATGGGAGGTGCTCAGAAAAAGGAGGTGCTCAGGAAGCCTTCTTGTCCCCTTCTTCTTTCTTAACACATCACAAGACAATGAAAAAAAAATACAGTTATAAGAGCAGCACTGACATTGGTGTTGGCAATGCTGTGTTAAGAAAGCATTATTACAGTTGCTTTTGGATTGGATTGGATTGGATGTCATAGGCATATTGCCAGTATTCATTATGCTGAGCTTGATGACTATGATTCTTAAGCCTACAAACTGGCTGAGATACTGGCCTTTTACTTTTGATCAAGGTTTGGTTGAGATGTAAGTTTGTCAGAGGCATAAGAAGGACTTACAGACCTCAAGTCTGCTGGACAGCTTAACAGGTCATGTTTATTCTTTTATTTTCTATTTTCTTAACAAATGTGCCTGCCAGGTACAAAGCTTTGTAAGGATCTCAAGTTACATATTCTACTGTTCAGTATTCATAATTTGCTTGGTCATCCAGAATGAGAAAAAGGACAGTGGCTAGACATGACAGAAGGTTGAATCATGAGTTGAATTCTTGCATTACCCATGAGTCTGGTGGTTCTTATGGGTTCAAGTTAGTGATAGTGCAGTATATACTTCTGTCTCCAGTGAGGTGAGTCAGTCTTTCTCCTTTCATTTCCCTTGCTCTTTAGTGAACTAAAGACTTTCGCTGGATCTAAGGATAGTATTAGGGCATCTTTTGTCCCTCATTTCTGTTTCATAATTTACTGAGATCTTTTTTAACAACTCTGGGGTGAGTTCCATGTTTGGCTCATGGACACTTTGACTAAATTTTAGTGGTTGCCTGACTAAAATAAGTAACATGCATGTGAATCAGTTATCTTTTTGAGTTATGCCATCTTTGTGAATATTAAAGGACTGTAATTTTCTGATACATACTTAAAATATGTAGTTTCTCTTTAAAATATAGTGTTTCTTTTAGAGAAACACTTGTCATGATTCATTAAAATGGAAAGAAGAAAAATTGAACCAAGATCTATTTTTATTCATGTTGTTAATATTTTATGAGTAGAATCAGTGTATCCAGCTTAAACAATCCTAGTCAGCTGAACATAAAGAAGAAAGGGATTAACCACCTCATCTCTTCATTGTATTTATGATATTTTATGGTGAGTGAAAGAAAGCCTTTTAAGAAGAGATGCTGGGAGTGTGTGTGAGGGGGCATACCTGTAATCCCAGCGCTCAGGAAGTCAGGGAAGGAGGATCTCAAGTTTGAGGTCAGTCTGAGCTACATATTGAGATCCTGTCTCAAACAAAACAAAACAAGGTTCTTGGCAATAGTAGACCAGCCATCCAAGCTTACTATAGAGCAAATCAATAGAAACTCAGGATCAAGAAAGATAATTTATAAGTTTAAAATGCTTTTTAGGCTTTAAGGTCTTTTGATAAGAGAATTCTACAAATTAGCGATGGTTTCTTGTTCTTGCGATGGTTTCTGGATTCTCCAAATTCCAGTAAGGAGCACAGTAGATGCTTCATAAATATGAAGTAAATGGAAGCAAATTGCCTTGGGGCTTGCGAGAAGCCCTACAATGCCAAAAGGATAAATGAAACTAGGGGTTCAACCATGTAAAGATGGAATTAAAACAACAGAGTAAGAATATATGAGGGAAAGCCTATTAAAATGATAGAGGGGGTGAATTTTTTATAGTGTTCTTATGACACTCTTGCAGGTAAAAGCTGAAGAGCAGCCCTTGAGGGGGTTGGCTCCTGGGGTTCCTCTCATATGTATGAAATGTCACAGTTCTCTCCTATGTCTGTTAAACCAGAGATGTGGGCAGAACAGTCCTTCAGTTCTTTTTGCCTTATGTGTTTAGCCCTTGCTATTTTTGGTCAGTATTGAAAACTACCATAAAATAGTCTCTATAGAAGTACAGAGTTATGAAAGCTATGCTAACAGCTCAGTACTGAGATTTCCAAAGAGCTCTGTGGTTTTCCCCAGCTCAGCGCAGTCTAGCCAGCTGAGTTTGAGAACGGCTGTCCTAAGTGTTAATGAAACAAAGCTCACCTGGGGGCAGTTAAGAGAGGGCTTCACAGGAGCTTGTGACAACAAATCTAGGAATTGTGCTCTGTAAAAGTCAGGTCTTATTATGTTGCTCTGGTGGCGTCCCTGAGGGCCAGCAGCTTATCTAACACAGTTATCTATTCAGTACAGAAAAGTCCCTCCTTTACCTACTTGCCTTACCAGCCTTTAGAAAAAAAGCCATCCATGGGGGTGGGGGAGCTGCTGTGAAGCGGGATTGTGTGACTGTAACACTAGTGAGGAGATGGCCAGGTTTAGGGTGGCAGCTGAGAAAGGCAAGTGGTTTGTGTTCTTTTGTGAAAATACCCTGCCCGGTTCTGTAGAACTTGTTTCGAAACCCAAAAGCTTTCTCTTGAACTAGATCACGAGAAGAATTTGCTTTGTGAGCTGATTCAGGCTCACAGTTAGATGAGCAATAAAGATGGTCAGTTCTTCATTGATTTTTGCTTTATTGATTTTTTAAAAAATCCTCTCTGTTTAGGGGGAAAATAATTGACCATCATGATTCGTGTTCATGTTATAAATCTGGTGTATATGTTTGCCTTAGGTAGTTCTGTATTTCAATATGTGATTGTATTACAAAATCTTCGAGGACAGAAGCCTGGGAAGGGCTGACTAGATCAGAACAGTGGCAATGAAAAATGACCTGTCTTTCTTATCAAATTTGCTTATTTTCTTTGAAGCAAGTGCAATTCTTCTCTTCCTCCTCCTCCTCCTCTTCCTTCTCCCCCTCCTCCTCTTCTTCTCTTCCTCCTTTTCTCCTCCTCCTCTTCTTCTCCTCCTTCTCCTTCTTCCTTCTTCCTTCTGTGCTGGTCCTGGGTCTTGAACTCAGGACCTGAGCTTTTGTGCTTGAGCCACAGCTTTACTTCTGGCTTCTAGGTGGCTAATTTTTTAATATTTATTTTATTTTATTTTATTTTTTGTTGGTCCTGGGGCTTAAACTCTGGGCTTAGGTGCTTTCCCTCAGCTCTTCAGCTCAAGGCGAGTGCTCTACTGCTTGAGCCACAGTGCTACTTCCTTTCTTTTTTTCTAGTGGTTTATTGGAGATAAGAATCTCACAGACTTTCCTGCCCAGGCTGGGTTTGAACCATGATCCTCAGATCTCAGCCTCTTGAGTAGCTAGGATTACAGGCATGAGCCACTGGTGCCTGGTGGTGGATAATTTTTGGCGGGGGGGGGGGGGGGGGGGGCGGGGGGGGGGAAGGGTAATGATTAATTATGTTTCTGGACTTTCCTACCCTGGCTGGCTTTAAACTATGATCCTCAGAGCTCAGCTTCCTGAGTAGCTAGGGTTATAGAGATGAACCACCCACCAGTGCCCAGCAGTAACAAATTTTTAGCAGAGTAACAGTTGGCGTTTCTGGATAAAGACTTGATAGGTTTAAGTTGAATCTGAAGATAAATAGTATAAGAGCTGGATGGAACAGGGAAAGGACAGAATGGAAATTTTCCTTTTGGGTTAAAGTTTGGTGAAAGATTCTAATGCCAGAAAGCAGTGGCTGCCAGGGAATGTTTTGTAAATTTAGCACATTATTTTAAGAAGTGGAGGCAGCAGGCTAAAAACTTGGGCTCTCAAAAGACTTCAAGCCTGGTAACAAAGGTGGAAAGAGCTTTTAAACATAGGTTGGAAGTTCGGTAAATGTTAGTTTCTCTGTTGGTTTTCCTACACTGCAATGGGAAGTGATAATAGTTCTCCACTGTGCTTAAACAAATGTGGGTGATGGTGCTGCTTCCCAGATTGTTAGGTAGGAAAAATTAGCTCTTACAATTCAAACCATTCAGTAAAACTTTCTCATTTGTATGGATATATAAATAGCTAAACAAATAATGAGAATAAGTAAGGTATTTATGCAAGGTTTTGTGTTGAATGCTGGGCAAGGAAAGCAATGGAAGGGTCAACACTTCCTCCGTGGGGTAAACACCCAGAGAAACACCCCAACCAGGGCACCCAAGGGCTACCATGTGCCTAGTAGCAAAAACCAAGAGCTCAGAAGAGGAACAAACTGCTGTGGGAGGTTGAATCCAGTGGGATTCAGAGAAGCATCTGGTAGAGGGAGGATTTGACCATGGAGAGTGTTGTGACAGAGGCTGGGAGCTGAATGACAGCTGTGCTGACTAGAAGTTCCCTTTAATCAAGGTGGAGAGAGGATACCAGGAGCTTGTGGCAGGCAGGCTGGTCATCCAGGGCCTTGGGCTGACTTGCATAAGCTACACGGGGCCCACTCTTAAGTGGAAGGGTTTGCCTAATCGAAGTTCAAAGGAGAACTGGAATGGGGTGTGCCTGGTTCATAGCTCAGGGATCTACAGGATTCATTGTCCACTGTAATTGACATGACAAAGCATAAAAAATGGAATCCCAATCCTGTTGATAATAAAGTGACCTGCACCAAAACCATGTTCTTGCTGTCCTTCTGTTGGGTGCACTCTCTGGGTGGGTGCTGGTGAAGTCAAGTGTTATGTTCTCTGGTGTGAACATTGGCCATTTCTTTACATTGAGACTAAGAAGACAAATCCATGTGACCCAAGACTTCAGATCTAAGCTCTTCTTCCAGTATGGACATATCCTGGCTGACCACAGTTATATGCATATTTGTTTTCTGTTTGATTCTAATTTGTTTCTTCTTTTTTCTTTTTAAATAGACTCTATCAAGGAGAATTTCCAATCCATACCTTGAACATACTCCTTCTCAGGTAGGACATCTTGATTCTGTCTCAGAATTTTCTATGGCAGTGGTGCAGAATTCTCTTAGCTGTTCTCACTGTCCCTGACCTCACCAAGTTTTGCTGGGTTGCTGCAAGGTCTCCCTCACCAGGAGTAGCCAGAGTGTTTGAGATGCCTTAATAGTGTCACAATTTAAGATATTCATGAAATAGGAACTGTCTACTGCTCCACTTTCCACGTGCTTTACATGCGTGCATTAGTAGTGTGGCAGAGTGAAGGTATAATAAAGTTTTTTCTACATTGATATAAATACCATTTTTTAACAAATAGTGGGTCATATACAGTAAAAGCTTTACATAAGAGAAAATATATATTCAGAGTTATCTATAAGTGGATTATCCATGTACTCATTGATAGAAAAAGATGAGTATACCTTTATCATGTTGTATTAAAGACTTAATGGAAGTTGGGCAATGTTTACTCATGCCTATAATCCTAGCTACTTAGGAGACTAAGATCTGAGGATTGTGGTTCAAAGCTATCCCAGCAGACAAATCTGAGAGACTCATATCTCCAATTAATGAGCAAAAAGTGGGAGGTGGAGCTGTAGCTCAAGTGGTAGAGTACCAGCCTTCAGTGAAGAAGCCAAGCAAGAGTGCAAAGCCTTGAGTTCAAGACCCAGTGTAGAAACAACAAAAAATGCAGTAAACAGAAGACTAAGCTTTCTGAGGCAAGGCCCTTTCCTGCTTTGTGTACTAGTATCTAGAACAGACTTCACACCTGACAGATGCTTATTAAATGTTTCTTGATTTCCAGAGTGAACAAATTCTGTACAATGTCAGGACTAGTGTGTTTGCTAATGCATACCTCTTCTTTGATAACTTTCTGTCATCTGGCTTATTCAAGTTTTGATTTTAACACATAAAATGCATTATTTCCTGCCCTTTTCACTTGCTCCTCAGGTTGTAGTTACGTGATGATATTCACACAATTATAGAAGTATAGGATGGGGTTGACATGCTCCTGTCAAGTCTAAGCTAATATATTAACAATCTGTTTGCTATAACAGAAGATCCAAAATATCCTGTAAGTGTAAAAAGAGTTCATCTAGAGGGCTAGTGTGTGAGTGACTCATTGGTAGAGTACTTGCTTAACATTCACGAGGTACTGGGTTTGGATCCAGGATCACACACACACACAAAAAAAAAAGGCTGGGCACTGGTAGCTCATGCCTATAACACTAGCTAATCAGGAGGCTGAGATCTAAGGATCATAGTTCAGCCCAGGCAGACAAATTTGAGAGACTCCTATCTCCAATTAATCATCAAAAAGCCAGAACTAGAAGTATGGCTAAAATGGCAGAGTGCCATCCTTGAGCAAAAAAACAAAGAGTGAGTGCAAGACCCTGATTTCAAGCCCCAGTGCTGCTAAGAGTGTGTGTGCATATGCGCATACACACACTTGCACATACACACAGATAGACACACACACACACACACACACACACACACACACACAAATATAAATAAAAAGCTGAGCGCCGGTGGCTCATGCCTGTAATCCTAGCTACTCAGGAGGCTGAGCTCTGAGGATCGCACTTCAAAGCCAGCTCAAACAGGAAAGTTCGTGAGACTCTTATCTCCAATAAACCACTAGAAAACCAGAAGTGGTGCTGTGGCTCTAGCAGTAGAGTGCTTGCCTTGAGTTGAAGAGCTGAGGGACAGAGCCCAAGCCCAGAGTTCAAACCCCATGACCGACCAAAAAAGAAAAAATACAAATAAGTTTTTGCCAAGAAATACGTAAAAAGATGTCAGCATGCAACCTTAATGCATAATGATTTCACAAGTAACTTTCAGTTACAAGTGTATTTCAGTCACTCTTTTGCCTGGGAACTGACTTTATGTTGTGGAGGATGGCATAGACAGAGAGAGGAAGGAGTTTATGAAGTAGTTCATAAAGTAGGACCCAGACTTCTCTAGAGCTGAGCATCACCCTCCTTCCTCCAGAAGAGTCAGAGACTTGTGGAGGAATCAGAAGATTAAAAAAGAAGAGAAGTGAAATTTTTTATCTGGTAGATGGGATTGTGAAGGTCTGCAGATGAAACCAGGACATTGAGAACTGACTGTGAGCTCAGCAGCTAGATGAAGCTTCAAAGCAAGCAGTGTCACAGTATGTCATAGGTCAAGATTTTCACTAATAGGGAAAAATACTTTCCCGTCTTCTAAGATCTTTATGTGAATGCATCATCAACATGGCAGCTTTGCTGTGTAAGTGTTCTTTGATTTGCTGCAGTGAAGGAAGCACTATTTTAAAAAATAGTAGATATTTTATGCCAAAAACTTTGTGTTTTAAAAGGATATTATCTGTAATTATAGTTAAGTAAAGCACTTGAGCATTTGGAAAATAGTTATTATAGCTTAATAGCATAAGTGGACCAAAAGCTAAAATAAAATAAGGTAATTATAGGTCTGTAGCTACATAGGCTAAAATGTGTCTCAAGCTTAGAGATTTGGTCAGGATTAATAGATATATATATAATATATATTAGTACTCTATCTATCTATCTATCTATCTGTCTGTCTGTTTGTCTGTCTGTCTGTCTGTCTGTCTATCTATCTTGAAGCAGGTCTTGCTACCACCTTCATCTGGGATGGCCTGGAACCTATGATTCTCCTGCCTCTATCTTCTTAGTAGCTGGAGTTATAGGAATGTGCCATCTCACCTGGCTGGTCTCTGCCACAAATTTTTGATGTTAAAGAATATCTGGTTGGGGGCTGGGAAGGTGGCTCAGTGGTAGAGCGCTTGCCTTGCATGCCTGAGGCCCTGGGTTCGATTCCTCAGCACCACATAAGCAAAAAGAAAAAATGCCGGAAGTGGCGTTGTGGCTCAAGTGGTAGAGTGCTAGCCTTGAGCTGAAGAGCTGAGGGACAGCGCCCAGGCCCAGAGTTCAGGCCCCACGACCGGACCCAAAAAAAAAAAAAAAAAAAGAATATCTGGTTGCAGGGAATGGCTACTCACTTTTAAGCATGAAGTATACACACACACACACACACACACACACACACACACACACACACTCAGAGCATGATATGATATTGAGAGCTCAAAAGTTGTCACATTATGACTCTCCATTTACAGCGAATGTTTACCTTTTCCATTTAGATTTATGGGGAGAACTCATCATGCGCAGGAAGAGCATTGAGGAATATTATTATCGTTCAGGCAGCTGACCTGGTAAAGGACAGAGTGAACCTCAAGGGATTTTACAGGTAACATACTTCCAATACCTTGTCAAAAATTTTCCTTGAATTAAAAAAACAAAAGGAAATCAACCAACAGCCTTTGTTAAAACTGTGGCCTTGAGCAGAGCCAGTCAGGCAGACAATCTTGGTTTCCACAGTGGTGGCCACTGTTATGTTAACCTTAGTTGCATGTTTGCTTTTGCTGCTTCTGATGAGAAGTGATATTTAGTAATATTTTCATGGATGTGTGTAACACTGGAGACTCAAGAAATAGAGGTCTCTTCTTTAGAAACTTGGTCATGCTTTTTTTGTTTTGTTTTTTTGTTGTTGTTTGTTTTTTGTTGGTCCTGGGGCTTGAACTCTGGGCCTGGGCTCTGTCCCTGAGCTCTTCAGCTCAAGGCTAGTGCTCTACCACTTGAGCCACAGTGCCACTTCTGGTTTTCTGGTGGCTAATTGGAGATAAGAGTCTCACGGACTTTCTTGCCCTGCTGACTTTGAAACACTATCCTCAGAGCTCAGCCTCCTGAGTAGCTGGGCTCATGCCAAGCTTGTCAAGCTTTGTCAGTACCTTGACCCTCTATATGAGAACAAGCCTCTGGCTTGACTGCAGTATGGAGTGGGGAAAGGCAGCTCAGTGTGGGATGTTGCTTGTTTGACTGGGCTAGTGAATAAGGGCAGAGATACATAAGAAGGAGAATAAATGAGTAGAACTCTGTGGAACAGTGATACATGCCTATAAACTCAGCTACTCAGAGGCAGAAACTGAGAGGACTGCTGTTCAGTGCTAGCCTGGACAAAAAGCAGATGAGTGAGACCTCATCTCAGACAGTCTGAGCATAGTGGAACATGTTGCAGTCCTAGCTAGTGGTAGGTATAGGTTGAAAGATTGTAGTCCGAGTCAAAAATGTGAGACCCTAACTAATTAAAGTAAAAAGGCTTGAGAGTGTGGCTTAAATGGTAGTGGGGTACTAATACGCCAGCAGAGCCAGTTAACACAAAAGAGTAAGTGAGTAAGTTCATGATCAGTTTAAAAGACCAACTGGGCCTACAGATCACTGATTTTTGCCTTTCCTTTCCCTTTTCTTTTTGTGGGGGTGGCAGTGCTGAATACTGAATACAGTCTTTTGTACATGTAACCTCTACCACTTGAGCTATGCCTTCAGCCCCCCTCTGTTTATTTGTCTGTCTGCTGTTTGTCTCTCTGTCTCTCTGTTATCTATCTATCTATTTTGAAGCAGATCTTGCTGCCACCTTCATCTGGGATGGCCCGGAACCTATGATTCTTGTGCCTCCACCTTCCTAGTAGCTGCAATTATTCCTACAATGTGTCAGCTCACCTGGCTGGTCACTACCACATTTTTGATATTAAAGAATACCTGATTATGGGAAATAGCTACTCATTGTTAAGCATGAAGGAATTTTCTGGTGCATAAAAACCCTCTGTATCTTGATAAAGATAATGATTACATATATGTGTAATTCATACAAATGCATTAATGTGTATAGTTAAGATTTGTATATTTTATTGCACAAGTAAAAATATTACTACAGAAAATATAAATTATGCCTCAATATAAATCGTCTATCTCCAAAAGTAAGGGAATTATTCCCTGAATCCAAGCACAATAGATTTTTTCCAGTTGATGGCTAATGGAAAACCAGAAACATTATGATGAATTTTTCATAAAGCTAAATTTATGTAACTTAAACATTATCCTGAGAACATTTTCAACTGTTGGGTATTGTTTATTCTAAGTACTATTCCAGTGTCATTTCTTTAAGTAAGAAGAGTGATAAAAATGGTAGCTTGGCCAGGCACCAATGGCTCACACCTGTAATCCTAGCTACTCAGGAGGCTGAGATCTGAAGAGCGTGGTTCAAAGCCAGCCCGAGCAGGAAAGTCTGAGACTCTTATCTCTAATAAACCACTAGAAAACTGGAAGTGGCTCTGTGGCTCTAGTGGTAGAGTGCTAGCCTTGAACTCAAGAGCTGAGGGACAGCGCCCAGGCCCAGAGTTCAAGCCCCTCGACTGACCAAAAAAAAAAAAAAGTAGTTTGTTTTCTTTTCATTGTATCTAAGTAATTTTCTTTTCATATCATTCAATATAACCTAATACTTAAACTTAATATAACTTAAATAAAAGGTGGTAATTTACCAACTTACTCTTTCCTTTTTGTTTTTTCCTTTTTTTTGGTAATATTGAGAATAATTTTTTTTTTTTTTTTGGGTCCGGTCGTGGGGCCTGAACTCTGGGTCTGGGCGCTGTCCCTCAGCTCTTCAGCTCAAGGCTAGCGCTCTACCACTTGAGCCACAGAGCCACTTCCGGCTTTTTTCTTTTTGCTTATGTGGTGCTGAGGAATCGAACCCAGGGCCTCAGACATGCAGGGCAAGCGCTCTACCACTGAGCCACCTTCCCAGCCCCTGAGAATAAATTTAGCGTACTAGGCAAGTCCTTTATCACTTGAGCCACATTCTTAGTCCTTTTGCTTTTTAATTTGTTTTAGGGTCTCATGGTTTTGCCTGGCTGGCCTCAGCTGGCAATCCTTTCATCTCTGCCTCCTGCGTAGCTGAGATTACAGGCATGAGCCAGCAGGCCTGTTTCTTTCTTTATATTACCGAATGAAACTATGTGCTCCAAACTTAAGCAACCATGCTTAAACAAATACATGCATTTAAGCAAATACAAAGTGTGAAGAGAAACCATACAATAAACGAACACTTGAAAGTCCTATATTTAATCACATAAGAACTTATGAACCTTTAAAAAAAGACTCTGTTTATATACTAGATACATCTACTCTGTTTACAAACTGTGTTTTTGTGTATTTGGATTCAGGAACCAACTCCAAGGCCCATCCTTTTCCTCTCATTAGAGATGAGTAACATACCACCTAGGAACCAGCACCAGGCCAAGCCAACAGGACAGGCAGCAAGAGGCTGTGGTGGATACATTTGGACTTCATAGAGCACCTCTTTCTCTTTTCCTTTATTTTTATTTTTTCTTTCTTAAAATAGATAATAAATCCAGGTGCTAGTGGCTCACTCCTGTCATCCTAGCTACTGAGATCTGAGGATTGTCATTTGAAGCAAGCCTGGGCAGGAAAGCCCATGAGACAGATCTCTAGTTAACCACCAAAAAGCTGAAAGTGGAGTTATAGCTCAAGTGGTAGAGTGCTAGCCTTGAAGGTAAAAGCTCAGAGACAGTATCCAGGCCCTGAGTTCAAGCTCCAAAATGGGCACACACACACATACTCACACATACATATACCATGATATCAATTTTATATGCATATGACTTTCAGAATCCCAGATTGTATGTATAACTCTGAGCAAGCTCAGAGTTTACACACAAAGGTGTTGGGGCTATCATGGTCTCAGCTCTTTTTGTTGTTGTGATCTCTATGGATATAGGCGGAAAGGACCTTGGAGATCGATGCATATCCAATGCAGTTCATGCAACAGAACCATCCACCCAATTTGGAGTATGTTGAAGACATAGTGGGAGCAGGGCTGGGTGAAGCATGTGCTTTGCTCTGATGGGGCAGAGTGGGTTTCTTTTGTGATCTAAGGACTGATGACCTTTCTGGGTTTGAATATGAAGTGCTAATATGACTGCCTAGAGGGATCATTTTATTTGTCTAGAAGTAAATTGAGGTAAAATGTCTCATGTACTACCTGAGAATTACCTTTGAATATGCTGAGGAGCCTTCTGTTTATTTTGTACTACAGAGAGTCATGCTAATTTCTGAGATTTCATTTCCTTTGCACAAATAAATCACTGAATGCCACCACCCCATTTATGTTTGAAGTTACCACGAGTTAATTGCTAAAAGAGTAATGTGAGACAGGAGGAGGCCAAGAAAGGCCAGGTAGTCTCTATTCCAGAGATTGGTGAAGTTGATGTTTTGCCAGAGCAATGGCATGGGTTTTGTGGCTTGTCACTTCCATAGGTTAGTGTTCCTACCTGGTATCTCAAGTATAGTTAGATCCACTTGTCCTCAGAACAGCTCTGGATGGAGTGCAGGACTGAAAATAGCCTGCGCATATGAACTGCCATCAGCTTTTAGATTGCTCTTCCAACCATTTACTTCCCTGCGGCTCTTGTCCTGCAGATTTAGATATTTTTACTAGATTGGGCACTGATAGTAACATGCAGAGGCAGCTCACCTTCACATAGCTGTTTGTGGGATATGAATGGCTGTGTTTCTCACTGCCTCTAACATTTTCTCTGGTAGGAAAAAATTCAAAGTGTACTTGATATAGTTAGGGGATGGTGTACAATTGAAATAGCAGCATCTCTGAGTGTGGGGCTCTTATTCATGAGGGTTGTCATGGCAATACTGTGTGTTAAGCATATTGGCTCAGCGCCCTGCACCCAAAACAGGGTGAGCCTCTCCCAATAAGAATGGAAAGCTGGGGGTTAGAGGTTTTGGTGGTCACCAACATTGCCTGAGAGCCAGTGAGGTATAAGGTCCTTGGGTCCCATGCAGCATGCAGTTTTGTTGAATCAAAATCAACATTTTGGCCAGACCCTCCCACTCCAGGAGACTCCAGCAGTTTTAAGAAGGCTTACTCCAGGAAGCTTCATCCTTGTCATCTGTTATTTCTACCTAGCTACCGTTTGCAGTTACTTTAGCCAGTGTTTCATTGTGTGTTTTGTGTTCCTGCTGATCTCAGGTGCTCAGAGCAAGCTGAGCCATACTGTTTTGTGCATAGAAATGATGATATAGTATATAATCCATTTGTAGAATAAAAGCTCTTTTAGAACCCAAGATGCTGGCTTAATTGAGGGAGGCATTGAAGATTTAACTGATTAATACTTTGAACCTTTAACATGAAAGGTGTCCTACTGAATTAGAAGTTAATATTGACTATTTGGTGAAATGGCCTGTTTATTGTCATAGGTTGTCTCATTCTGCTTAAAAAAAATCAATATATTTGACTGTTAATCTTTCTGTTATTCTAACACTTACCTGCAACTGAACATGTCTGGAATTGGCTTACTTTAATTGCCTTGGAATTTCTTTGAAATTGTGTTGCTTTACCAAAAAAAATTTCATGGAAAGCATATCTATGTATTTCTATAGAATATTTGACCAGCTTTTTCACCAGCAGTGTTTATTCCCTTATTTTCTTCACCCTACAAAATGTAGCAGCTCATGGCAGTCTTCTTATTGCTGATTGCAGTGTGATTCCAAGGTATTTATATCTGTACCGATCACAAGAGATAGCAAAATGGTTATGTGTGTTAAAAAGACAAAAGTGACATTTCTGAGCTCTTAAATATTGATTATAGAAGCTGGGAGCTGTGGGCACATGCCTATAATCCTAAATATTCAAGAGGCTGAGGTCAGAGGGTCACAGTTTGACGCCAGCCTGGGATGGAAAGTTTCTAAGACTCTTATCTCCAGTTAAGCACCAGAAAACTGGAAGTGGAGCTGTGGCTCATGAGGTAGAATGCTAGCCTTGAGCAAACTCAGTGATAGTGCCTAGGCACTGAGTTCAAGCCCTATCACCCATTAAAAAAAAAAAGATTATAAAGATCCCTGTTCCATGATGCATCCTTCTCTCTGTCTCTCTGTCTCTCTCTGTCTCTGTCTCTGTCTCTGTCTGTCTGTCTGTCTGTAGAAGGATGAAATCCCATGACATTTCTGAGAATGTAAAAAGCCTATTTCAAGGCTGGGGATATAGCTCAGTGGTGGAGCTATTGTCTAGCCTAGGCAAGGCCCTGGGTTTGATTCTAGCACTGTGAAAAAACAAAAAGTGTATCTCAGAATTTTTTTTTCTTATAAAGCTTATAAGCTGGAAAATGGGGCATAAAATAGGGCTTGTAATTCTCACTCTGTGGCATTTTTAGACTTAGTATGTTTCAAAACTAATTTGAGATTTTTCTGTGTGCTGTTAATGGAATCCAACACACATCTGATTTATGATCTAGGCTATCTAGGCTGCTTGACCGGATTGCTTAGATTATATTAAAAAATTAACAACCAAATTTATCATTTTTGAAACCAGTTTTAATCTTAGAAAAGAAGCAAACAAAGCTACATTCCCACTGGCTATGGTCTCACATTAGTCTAATCTTCGCAGACTCATTTTATTTTCAAAGGAACTAGATTAAAATGTATACACATTTAGAAATTTTATCACTGATACCTTGACTTACCATTCTGCTTGGTTGGTAAATTTATTTTCTCATTCAGATGAACATTCTGAGAAATCACCATGTGCTGTGGACTATTCTAATTGTTGGGAGTTAATAGTGAGGTATAGAAAGTCCCTGTTCTCAGGAAAATTCTTTACTAGTGCTGCAAGCAGACTGATTCATTTGGAAAGATGTGTGTGATTACTATGTGTTTCAAAAGTATAAGAGAATTTGACTTTTAACCTTAAGAAAGTGATACTTACTTTTGTCATACTTTTTTTTTATTGTAAAGATACTATACAGAGGGTTACAGTTACGTGAGTGAGGTAATGAGTATACTTCCTCTTGAACATTGTTACCCCCTCCATTGTTTTCCTCCTACCATCCCCTCCCTCCCTACCTTCCCCGAGGTTCTTTTTTTTTTTTTGATTGTGATTAAGTGATTACATAATTTCCGGAATTTCACAGTATTGTGGAATAATGATGCTCATTTAAAGTCACAAGTTCATTCTAACTTTCCTGGAGCAAATTGTCTATCACAGTCTGTAACATATAACGGTGTTCACATGTTATACACCATACATGTGATCAGCAGTACGGGGATATTTAGTAGTGGTTCAACCAGATGAGTGGGAGTTCTTTCTTTTTTAAGTCCTGTTAGTTTTGTCGTATCACCTAACATTTTGGATTTAGCATCCACTTATCAGGGAGACCATGTACTGTTTGTCTCTTCGCTCTTGGCTTACCTCGCTCAACATGATTCCTTCTAGCTCCATCCATTTCCCTGCAAATGCCATTATTTTGTCATTTCTAGTGGCTGCATAATATTCCATTGTGTGTAGATACCACAATTTTTGGATCCATTCATCTGTGGTGGGACATCTGGGTTGTTTCCATATCCTAGCTATTGTGAACAGTGCTGCAATAAACATGGAGGTGCATGTGTCCTTGTATATTGGTTCCTGTTGTTCAGGGTAGATGCCTAGAAGTGGTATTGTCATACATTTTTATAAGAGCAAGAACACAAAATGAGTAGTACTAATTATCAGTTTGTGTGGGAAGAATTTTGGGGGCAAGAACATCTCTGAATGGTCTTCCTGTCATCTAGGAGAAGTTGTGTGGGGTCGGAACTCGTGGACTGGCTTCTGGAACACTGTCCTTTTGTCCAGTGCAGATCTATGGCCATTGGTGTGTGGCAGCTCCTGCTGGACATGGGAATTATGTCATCAGGTTAGTATTACATTTTTCCCCACCAGACCAGGACTCAAACTCACCACCTAAGCCACACCTCCAATCCCCAGTGTTACATATTTTGAAGGCATCTCATTTTTTTGAAGTTATTATACCAAAGTATACTTGATTTTCTAGAGGGAATTACAATCTGGATGGAGATTACTTTTGAAGGCAAATGTTCATATTCTTTATTTTGTAAGAGTGAGAGGTCGTCTGTTGATTCATTTGTTTCTCCTACACTTTCAGTAAAAATACTTAAGTACTTGTTGGTTTATAAATTATACCTGTGAAATTGTCCCCCCAGTCTTCTCTACTAAACTTGCTGGGCACAAACTTTTAAAAATCAATGATATCTTTAGCTGCTCTAATTGTGTGATTTTTCCTTGCTGTACTTAGAGCAATCATCAGAAGCTTGATTTTTCAAGTGAGATGTGTATACATTTTAATTGACTAATCATGAACACTTGGAGACATGACTTTTGAAGATTAGCTGTTTAAACAAGAGCAGAACATGGATGTTAACTAGTAACTAAAATAAATAGGGATACCTCTTTTCTTTACTGAGCCCAGCGACTTGAAGGGATAAGAAGCTGGAGCAATGTGGATTCTTTATTTAGCTCAATTTAGAAAATGCTGGGTGGTCACTGAAAAAACTCCTTTTTTTTTTCTTTTTTCTATAGGTGATAAATATTGAGAGCATACCCCTAGTCCATTTGAACATTACAGATGGGGATATGTTGCAATCTTCTTAGACAGTCAATAATACCTAGCACCTAATACTCTTAACAAGAAAAATCAGTTAACTACCTTTGACGGATGGAGGTATTATTAGCTTACTTGCTAGACTCAGAGTTCTAGTTAGCAAAACATTTTGTGTTAATGTTCTTATGAAAAGGTCTCCAACTTTTCATTCCTTTTAAACAATACTACCCTTTGGCAGTATTGACATTTTGAGTTGGATAATTCTTTGTGGTAGGGACTTTTCTGCACATTCCAAGATTTTTAGTTAGCTTCCTTTTCTTTTACCTTCTAGATGGCAAGAGTACTCTTATGCCTCTTAAAACATCCCCAAATGTCTCTAGACATCACTAAGTGTCCCCTGAGGGAAGTATTATCACTACCAGTTCCTGTTCACTAATTTGTGAGATAAAACATATCATGTATTTGTGTCACTAAAGAAATTAACTATTAAAAAATTTTTTTTGGTTGTGGAGCCTGAACTCTGGGCCTGGGCACTGTCCCTCAGCTCTTCAGCTCAAGGCTAACACTCTACCAATTGAGCCACAGTGCCACTTCTGTCTTTTTCTGCCTATGTGGTGCTGAAGAATCGAACCCAGGGCCTCATGCATGTGAGGCACATACTCTACCACTGAGCCACCTTCCCAGCCCTGAAATTAACTATTTTTAGTTTGTTTCAAGACATTAAAAAAATTAACTATAAATGAAATGCCTCATGCCTGAAATCCCAGCTTCTCAGGCATCAGAGATAAGGGAGGATTGTGGTTCTAGGCCAGCCAGGCAAAATATTAGTGAGACCCCATCTCAACCATATGCAGACATGGTGTTTCATGCCTACACAACTATGCCTGTAATCCCAGCTCTGAGCAAAAATAGAAGACCCTGTCTAAAAAGTAACTTAGAGCCAAAAGGGTTGGAGGCATGGCTCAAGTGGTAGATGACTTGCCTAGCAAGGGCAAGTCCCCGAGTTCAAACCTCAATACTGCCCACCCTCCCACAAAAATTACCACTTTATTAAACTGATACTAATTTCATCAACACTTGTTTCTGAAGCAGAAAAATTACAAAGTATGTGTGAATATGCTGGGCAGAGCTACAGAAAAATAAAAATAGACTAGCTAGTAAATCCTTTTTAATTCAATGAAATTTCAAATATGAATGAACTTAGAATATGTAGCCATAGTCTCACCTCTGGCTTTTGCCAAATTGGGTTTTCAATTTATTTCGTGATTTATAAGTCTAAAGAATAAGCATTTTTGTTTTGTTTGTGTCTTTCAAACAGTGGACCAGCATCTGTACTTTCAAGATACTTATGTTTTCTACCAGTTTTCATCTGATGAATGCAGCTACTTGTACTGTGAATTTGAAAGGGAAGAAGAATGGCAAAATGGTGTCAAGCTGTTGCTGCAACTTGTGCCTCTGATTCCAGCAAGAGCAGGCGTCTGTGAGCTGTAAGTAGATGCTATCCCATGCTGCTGTTAGTCTTACTCAGAGAGCATTTGCTGAGTCCAGCAACTGGGCCTGCTCTGTAAGATTGCTATCTTGTTTAAGAGACAGTTGAACTGATTCAGGTGTTCGTGGCTCACATGTATAATCCTAGTTATTCAAGAACCTGAGACCTGAGGAATGAGTTTCAAAGCCAGCCTGGTCAAGCTTTGAAACATCTCCATTTAAGCACCAAAAAGCTAGAAGTAAACCTGTGGCTCAAGTAGTAGAGCACCAGGCTTGAGCAAAAAAGCTAAAGGACTAGCACATACTAAAAGAAGAAACAATTGTACTGTCCTTGTTTTTTAGAAGTTAAGTTCAGAAGATAAAATAAATTACTCCAAAGTAACTGAACCTGATATTCAAAGTAACTGATCCAGACGTCCAGATCCCACCAGCTGTACCATGCTGCTTCTAATTCACCATCTCTAGATGAGTACATGATCTAAATCAGAAGTAAATGTGTGGGCGTAAGATATAATGAAACAATAACTCACATCTTACCCACTATCCAAGTCGTGACTTTGTTAAGAAGGGGACGAACAAATCTTTATGAAAATAATCTAGGAATGGCATTTGGCACATGAAAACATGTGAATCATTATATGAAAATACTGAATCATTGTATGATTAAAATTAGTTAAAATTCTTTAGATGAGGCTCAGGAACAGGACTTGAGTCATGATAATGAAGATTCGGACATGCTTTTGTTTATCCTTGGTAATATTACCAACTTTATTTCGGGAATATGAATTGCAATTAAAATGTCAATTGAAAATGTCTATATATGTGTAACACTCAGGTTTCAAAATCCTGTTTTGTGTTCTTCATTCTTTCTATTTTGTGATAGGGGCAAAGTAGAATTGTTTTCATTTATTCAGTAAGAAAGTAGGCTTTAGCTGGGCACTGGTGGCTCATGCCTGTAATCCTAGCTACTCAGTAGGCTGAAATCTGAGAATCACTGTTCAAAGCCAGCCCTGGCAAGAAAGTCCATGAGACTTTTTTTTGGGGGGGGTGGGGGGAGGTCCGGTCGTGGGCCTGAACTCTGGGCCTGGGTGCTGTCCCTCAGCTCTTCAGATCAAGGCTAGTGCTCTACCACTTGAACCACAGTGCCACTTCTGGCTTTTTTTTCTGCTTATATGGTGCTGAGGAATCGAACCCAGGGCCTCATGCATGCAAGGCAAGCGCTCTACCAGTGAGCCATCTTCCCAGCCCCCATGAGACTCTTAATCTCCAAAATGGCACTGTGGCTCAAGTGGTAGAGCTGAAGAGCTCAGGGACAGTGCTCAAACCCAAAGTTCAATCCCCATGACCAACAAAAAGACAGAAAGAAAAAAGAAAGTAGGCGTTAAGAGAAACACCTATGTGACCATAACAATCATAAGTCAGCTAAAAAATGGCAATACTAAATAAGTAACAAGGCAGGTTTTTTTTTGTTTTTTGTTTATTTTTTTTTGTCAGTGATAGGGCTTAAACTCTGGGCCTGAGCACTGTCCCTCAGCTCTTCAGCTCAAGGCTAGCACTCTACCACTTGTGCCACAGTGCCATTTCCGGCTTTCTGGTGGTTTATTGGAGACAAGACTCTCACAGACTTTCTTGCCCGGCTGGCTTTGAACCACAGTCCTCAGATCTCAGCCTCCTGAGTAGCTAGGATTATAGGCATGAGCCACCGGTGCCCTGCCAAGGCAGTTTTTAGCAAATGAAAAGTTCTAGAATATTAATGCAACACTTTTGATAGAAAGGTTTATTATAGTTGGGAACCAGGGGCTTATATCTGTAATCCTAGTTACTCAGGGGCTGTGACCTGAGGATCAAAGTTCAAAGCCAGCCTGGTCAGACAAATCCAAGTATCTTGTAAATCTTACATTCCATAATGTTTCACTTCAGAAGGATTGCATAGACCAATTATGATATTATTCTAGTTTTATAAAGTGTGGAAACAAAAGCACAGAGATCAGGTAACCTAAGACTATTGCATGTGACCAAATTGAGTCTTCGTGTTTGATCTATGACTGTCTAGCTGTGATACTTCTGCTTTTAACACTTGCTACGATATCTTCAGAAGTTATGAGGTCATTCTGACATTGCTTCTGAGAGATTATAAATAAAATTTATGGAAGTATTAGCTTGAACTGTTAAACATTCCCTACCACAGTTTACAGAAAGTCTTGCAGTGCTAAAGCAAATTCAGATGTCACTCAAGCAGGCCTGGAGTATTGGAAATGTTATTTATTTGTAAATGAATTCTTATTCTAAATATAGGACAGAAATGCCCTAAGAAGAGTCAAAGAGCATTTCAGAAGCTTTTCTTTTCTTTCTTTCTCTTTCTTTCTCTCTCTCTCTCTTTCTCTCACTACTCTTCTCTTTCTCTCTCTCTTTTTCTCTCTTTCTCTCTCTTTTTCCTCTCTTCTTTCTCTCTCTTCTCTCTCTCTTTCTCTCTCTCTTTCTCTCTTTCTCTCTCTCTTTCTCTCTCTCTCTTCTCTCATCTCTTTCTCTCTCTCTTTCTCTCTCTCTTTCTCTCTCTTTTCTTTCTTTCTCTCTCTCTTTCTCTCTCTCTTTCTCTCTCTCTTTCTCTCTCTCTTTCTTTCTCTTCTTTCTTTCTTTCTTTCTCTCTCTCTTCTTTCTTTCTTTCTTTCCTTTCTTTCTTTCTTTCTTCTTTCTTTCTTCTCTTCTCTCTTTCTCTCTTTCTCTCTTTCTCTCTTTCTCTCTTTCTCTCTTTCTCTCTTTTCTTCTTCTTTCTTTCTTTCTTCTTCTTTCTTTCTTTCTTTCTTTCTTTCTTTCTTTCTTTCTTTCTTTCTTTCTTTCTTTCTTTCTTTCTTTCTTGTACTAGTACTGGGGCTTGAATTTAGGGCTTCTTGCTCTCTCTCTTGGCTTTTTCACTCAGGGCTGGAAACCTACTATTTGAGGCACACCTCTACTTCTGGCTTTTTGTTGGTTAACTGGGGGTAAGAGTCTTACAGACTTTTCTGCCCAGGCTAGCTTCAAACTGTGATCCTCAGATCTCAGCCTCCTGAGTAGTTAGGATTACAGCTGTGAGCCACCAGTGCCTAACTATCTCAATAAACCTTAATGAGTTCTTTAAGGCACAAAATACTTCCAACTAGAGATAGTTTCGATGGGTAGGGTCTAAAAGTCTCTATCAGCTCTTTCAAGCATGTCCTGTCCTACAGAAGATGCAGATGTGGGCACCCCCATTGGTACACTCTGATTAATGGGGACAAGAGGGCAAGTAGTCATGATTTAACTCTTATTTCCTTCCCCCTACATAGACCGCAACTTGGAATACCCATGCCTGTTATGGGAGAAATCATGAAACTAATTTGTAAAACTGAAAATAATTTATGAATTCCAGATTGCTCACAGTCCTTTGTCACACTGTTCACACTATTAGTACAAACATTAGGCCCTAGAGTTAAGAATCACTATATATACCATGGTGTATTTACCCGCAATTATTTTCAGTTGTGTAAATATATATATTTTGGGAGATTGATCACCAACTTCTACAGATAGGCTATCACTGGGAACATAACAGGCTGTCTGTCCTTATTGTATTATGAAGTATAGGAAGATAAAATTACTGAACTACCCCAAGTTTCTTTTTACCTCATACTAGAATTTTAAACCAGTTTTTTTCTGTAATGATAGAATGGTTTTGGAGGTGAATTTTGGAAGGGCATGGTTTAGGCTCTTCACACTGGAAACAACTGTGGCCAGATTGAAAAAAGAAAAAAACTGCTCAGGAACAGTGTCCTCTTTTAGTTGTGTCCTCGTTCAGTTGTGTGGTTGCAACCCTTCCCAGGTTTCCATCTGCTCCTGCCCTCTGCTCTGACCTCTTGGTTCTAGCCTTTCTGCTCACACTGATCTTTCTGTCTCCTCTGCCTCTTTCCTTCCTACTGAAATTCTACCCGTCCCTCAAGGGGGAGCCCAAGTCCTTCCTCAACCACAAAGCTTCCTCGGTGTCCTTGATGTCCCTGATCTGTGTTGATTTTGCTTTTGATAACATACTGCTTTTGTTCTTTGTATTTTTAATAATCTATTCTCCCATACCATTCTTAGCCCTGTGTTACTTCATTTTTATCCATTGTATCCTCTGAAGTCCTATGGATTCTTACATTCTCTGTCCATTTATGAGCTAAAACCTCATCTTGTAGCCATGTTGGCAATCCTTTAGATATTTGAAAACCATAAACTCTACTACATATATGGTTTCAAATTAAGTCCCTCTAATTTGCCATCTTATTTTAAGTATCTTTAAACTAATGCAAGAAAACCATTTACTGTCTCTTTGTAAACATACTTCTTTCCTGTACAAATATATTTTCTAGAAAGAAAAAATGTAATGACGAGTTTTTTCTTTTGGAAAAGAGAGATGGAGCTGCTGGAAGTTTCCAGGGTAGTTTGAGGAAAGTAATACCCTTTTCTATTCAAAACAGTTTTTTTTTGTTGTACATTTTTTATTGTAAAAATGCTGTACAGAGGGGGTTACAGTTACATGAACAAGGTAATGAGTACATTTCCTATTGAGCATTGTTGCCTCCTCCTTTGTTTTCCCCCTACCATCCTTTCCCTACCAACTCTACAACTACCCTCCCCACCCCACCTTGCTGAAGTTGTAAAGTTCATTTTCAACATAGTGTTTTGTACATTTCATTGTTACAATGGGTCAACCAGTATCAAAACAACGTTAATAGCCAAATTGAGTGGATAATTCAAAAGGAGTGAATTGGTTGTCAAATGTGCCATCTTTGGAAAAGATAACGGTCATGCCTCATTTAAACTAAAAGCCAAGTCAAGTTAGCTAGAATGTACTTTTTCTAACTATCTCAGTCTCCTGTGGCTTGGATGGCAGGTCCATACTAATATACCCAGCTATTGGTTGGGATGGGGTCTTGCAGATGTTTTGCCCGGGCTGGCCTCAAACTGGAATTCTCTGGATTTCTACTTTGTAACTATCTACAATTAT